AAGGTGGTGCAGGTGGCGGACATGCACTACGCGGACGGCCGGACCACGGGCTGCGAGGACGTGCTCCCGTCCCAGGTGGCCGGCTGCACCGACCTCAACACCACCGCCTTCCTCTACCGCGTCTTCCGCGCCGAGGACCCCGACCTCGTCGTCTTCACAGGTCGGTCGTGCTTATCCGACCCTGTCCACAGATACTTAGCCAATTAAGTAATCAATCGATTTGACTTGTCCATCTCGCTTTTCATCCGAATCCATATCGCTACTCGCTAGTGCTGGTAGTTTGGTTGCCGTTGTCGTTCAGTTGGATACAATATGTGAAAAGATTAGTCAGTCAGCGTGTGCGCGATGGTGATGAGAGAGATGTTTAGTTCATTGAAGTTGTTACGGATCGTGGTCGAGATCCCGTTCTGAAAAAAAATCTGTAGAGAAGTGTAGCTTCAGCTGCTTTGATTAGTTCAAGAAGGATGTCACGGGCTGCACAAGTGACAGCACGTGGCCTATTATACTAGAGGAGCTTGTGTGTTCCGGACTGGATTCAGGAATTCCAAATCAAGGGGCCCCGGCGACGGGTAGCATGCCATGACGACTCAGTGAGGTCCCAGTTGTTGATTGGCCTTGGATGACAACGTTGGGCAACTGGCACGATGATGGATGCGTCCATGAAGGCAATGGGCACTGAATGTGGGTAATGCATCAGGGAACAGTACAAATGTAGCTGCCTTTGACTATGTCTAGGTTACTGTCATGTTTCGTTGTGTTGTTTCACGGTCAATTATGGTTGATCTTTCCAAAGCTGCAGCTTTGGAAACCTGGGTGTGGGAGGAACAGAAACTTAGCGAAGCCGTTGCTTTTATATTGTAGTAAAATTATTCCTAAACCATGCACAACAGTGACGGTCATGTGCAGACCATGTTTAGGGTATTGATTTATGACAGTTTTGTTGGGCAGGTGATAACATCTATGGTGCGGATTCAACTGATGCGGCCAAGTCTATGGATGCAGCAATTGCCCCAGCCATTGACATGAAACTACCTTGGGCTGCTGTGATTGGGAACCATGACCAAGAGGGTACACTATCACGTGAGGGTGTAATGCGTCACCTTGTGGGCATGAAAAACAGCCTTTCAAGCTTCAATCCAGAAGGAATTGAAATTGATGGTTACGGAAATTACAATTTGGAAGTTTCTGGGGTTGAAGGAACACCCATGGATGAAAAATCAGTGCTCAACCTGTATTTCCTAGACAGTGGTGACTATTCTACTGTACCATCAATCAATGGTTATGGTTGGATCAAGGCTTCGCAGCAAGTCTGGTTCCAACAAACATCTTCAAGTCTACAGGTTAACAACTTACTGACATTCTTTTGGGAAAAATGTTCATCTTAACCCATTGCTCTATGTTTTGCCTTTTTGCCTGGTACAACAAGCTCAAACAAATCAGGATTGTTGTTTGAAGATTATTTTCTTCACTTGTGAGCCATCTATTATCATTATAGAAACTATATCATAGTGCTAAATTAAATGAAACGGTGCATTGATTTGAGCGAGCATACTTAGAAGGTTCCTAAAACTATGGGTTGATGCCTTGATGGAGTTAGTAATTGTACACTAAGTTATCTGCTGTACCAAGCTTAACTCTGCAAAAATGCAATATTTAATCCTTTCTGAAGTCTTAAGTCAAGGACATGGCTTGTTGAAACAAATGTATCTAATTTTGGTAATGCTATAGTTCACAAAACTGAACATATCTAAAATGCCAGATGGACCAGATTGGTACGAGCAGATTAAACTACAAAGAATGTATTTACACTCGTTTCTGTACAGAAGATCATCATTGTTTTATGTTATCGATCATAGTTGTTCTTGAAAAAATGCAGGCAAAGTATATGAATGAGAACCCGAAACAGAAGGAACCAGCACCTGGCCTTGTGTTCTTCCACATTCCACTACCAGAGTTCAGCAGTTTTACGGCAGCCAATTTCACAGGAGTAAAGCAGGAGGGTATCAGCTCAGCATCAATTAACTCTGGGTTCTTTGCCTCCATGGTGGAGGCTGGAGATGTGAGGGCTGCCTTTGTGGGACATGATCACATTAATGACTTCTGCGGGAAGCTCAGTGGTATTCAGCTCTGCTATGCTGGTGGATTTGGTTACCATGCCTATGGGAAGGCTGGGTGGTCAAGGAGAGCAAGGGTGGTGTCTGTGCAACTTGAGAAGACAGACAATGGTGAATGGCGAGGCGTCAAGTCCATCAAGACATGGAAGAGGCTTGATGATAAACATCTTAGCACAATTGACTCTGAGGTCCTCTGGAACAGAGGCTCTAATGGTAAGACACTCTCTTATGCCTGGATATGATGCTTAACTCAAGCCTGCCTTAGCAACTGTAGAGTATGAGACTATGGGTGCCTTCTGTGAATGGTTCTCGTAAAAGGGGGAAAAAGTATCTAGGACAAGTGATATGATGTTTCATGTAGGGTTTATTTCCTGATGACGTGAACTTATTTTTTCTATGCAACAACTAACCTATGAATTGCCTGACAGGGAGGCGCAGGAAGAATCCTGATGGTAGTTGACTTTTGATGCAGACAGGAATGGTGCTCCGTAAGGGATCTCATACAGCAACTGTAGAGTACGAGACTATGGGTGCCTTCGATGAATGTTGGATGGCCAATTTACTATAGAAGTGGAAAATGCAGAAGTGTGTACATGGGGGAGAAGATCATATATGGACACATACACGCAGGTTTCTGCTGTTGTATTTTTCCATGTTTGCAAAATAAGTAACTGCAATTCGGTGCAGCTGTCAATTATTGCAAGTGGTCTCATATATAGTGCAATGGTCAAAGGAAAACGAGAATGCAATGTTATTGTAGTCCCATCTCTGTCAAAGGAAAACGAGAATGCAATGTCATTGTAGTCCCATCTCTCAAGTTTCAACAGCAATTGAAACCTCAGAGTTACCACAATATCCATTTTTCATATAACTACTGAATGTTCTTATATGTATGCAATCAATTAAGAAGCTGACAAGTAAGAAATTGCCATCAGTATCTATATAGTCTTATAAAGCTAAACCTCACTAGATGTTTTATCTTTTCATGCAAGGTGTCCACATTATTTCCCTCTAAGTGTCCCACTAATTTGCAATCCTTTCATGTAAGCTATCCATGTCATTCCTTATTAATTACAAAAAAAAAATCCACATCATCTCTATTATGTGCAATATTTTTTATCTTTAATCTATTAACGCAAAGTCATCTACATATACTATTGGTTTCATCACCTATTCATCTATAATGTGATCAAATATCTATTAGCTTACCAATTTTTTACTAGATCCGATACAATAAAATAGCATGCAAGTCAAATTCATATATATACACACGGTATACAGAATACCATAGAGTAATGTTATATATAAAACATATTTATTTTTAAGAAAATTCCACAGCAACGATCTGGATATGCTTCTAGTTCTGCTAAAAGAGGCATCCAAATTCGCCTTGCACCCTGAATTCTCCACTTACAACCAGGGTTTTTAATTTCGGTGTTGCAAAAATTTTGGCCACCACCAAAATTAGAACAACCCATTCTAGAATATTAGAGTAGGGAGTACTTTGAACGGAAGCCAATGCAGCATCTTCTTCCTTTTATTCCTTTCACAATCCCGTCAATCTAAGAATCCGAGCTCACCTTCACGAGGTAAAGGTGACGTGGAAATGATGAGGTATACCTCAAATGTAGTACCTGTTCTCTTTCGTTCGCACATCCAAACTTACCATCTCCACTGCAACATCGCTATCAGTGGGTGCTTTAGAAAACATGATCGAGGGAGCTGTTTTCAAAGAGAAAATGTCCTAAGGCTAAACCATTGGTTGATTTAGAATGTCCAAATCCATTGGAACAAACCCTATTAAACTGCTTTAAATTCTTACTGCTTCCTAAGACATATTGTGATATTTTTGGTGAGGGGGTTTGGAAATCGAGTTCGAATAATAATTCGATTTACGGAAGGTGTGGGATGTCAATTTTGGTGGGTGATGCGGCCTCTAAATGATGACACTGGACAAACCACTTTTTATAAAATTGAAAACTATAAACAGTTTTTTGAACAAGGCTATCTGAATTTCGTGAAATTCGGCCGAAATTTCGCCAAAATTTTTTTAGAGACTGGCACATGAAGTATGCTTTTTCTAGAAAAATTTAGATCTAAACAAATATTAGCATGATTTATGACTGAACATCTAGTGAATAGAAGAATATGCAATATAAACAATAGAAAATATGAGTCAAGAGTTATATAGCACAAGTTTTAGTATATTACAAAATTAGAAAAAGTCTACATAATCCTCCCTAACTATTTAGGGTGGACTACATCACCCCAAACTATAAAACTGGATTTTCTACCCCCTAAACTTTTCAAATCCAGTCAAATAACCCCAAGCAGTTTTGGACTGTGGGTTGCTACAGTAATGGTGATTTTGTTTTTTATTTATTTCCGTTGAATCTTTGAGAAATCATAGTAAATCACATAAAAATCATAAAATAAAAAATTTAATTTTGTTGGACTCCACATGAGTAGATCTACACAGTGAAGATCTACTCATGTGGAGTACAACAAAATTAGATTTTTCATTTTATGATTTTTCTGTGATTTACTATGATTTCTCAAAGATTCAGCGAAAAAAAAAGACAAAACCACCGTCATCGTAGCAAAACCACCGTCCAAAACCATTTTAGAATGTTACCGGTTTTGGAAAGTTCAGGCGATAAAAAATCTGATTTTATAGTTTGGGGTTGAAATAGTCCACCTGAATAGTTGAGGGTTTTGTAGATTTTTTTCTTATAAAATTTCAGATTTTTCTTTCGGCCATCATCCGAAATTTCGTCCAAATTTTGAACCCCGCTGACAACACCTACCTCACCCAGTGGAACAATAGATTTACACGTCGTCGTCTATATACAGTTGACAAAAGAATCAAATTCAAATCGTTCATATTCACAGAAGAGCTTTGTACCACGGGCCATGGACCATCCCTGATACCGTGGCCACCTTGATCAGCACCTCGGACGCCTTCACCACCCTATCGACGAGCCTGGCCGCGCCGACGCGGCGCAGCGTCGCGTCAGCCAGCTTCTGGCCCTTGTGGCCGCTGCCACCGAGGACGACGCCGCGGAAGGCGCAGAAGACGGCCCTGGAGACCATCTTGAAGACTACGTCGCCGGGCTGGAGGCTCTTGAGGAGCACCCGGGCGGTCGTCTGCCTCCTGCCCTGGATCTTCTCTTCTTCCGATGGTGAGCCAACCGCCGCCGACGCGCTCATCATCGCCTCCACTATCTCTTCGGCGCCGGCGTCAGGGGAGGCGTCCAGCATCTTCACGAGAGCCTTGAAGAGCTCTGCGGTGGCGTTATCCAGTTCCTGAGCCGTGGCCTTTGAGCTCTCGCCCATCAGAACCTGACGCAGGATGAGCATGCTGGAAAAACAACAGAAGTTGGAACCAATATCATCAGAAATTCAGAATTAATCTTTATGACAGACTAGATTGTAATTAAGATGAAGGATAGAAAATATAGCTAGTTACCTTGTAGCTATCACGATGACTTGTTGGAACTGGCTCTGCAAGGCCCTCAACCTCATCAAATTAATCTGGAAGCTCTCAGGAGTCGACTGCATTTGCAAGCCCTCTACGCTGCTAACAAGCTGCAACAGGCCAATCCTTATCAGCTTGTCAAGCTCGTCACCCTTGCACTCTGGCTGCCCAGAAACGCCTCCTGCAGCTGCAGGCGAAGAAGAAGACGGCTGGCGTACGGCAGCCCCATGGCCAGCTCGGAGTACCGGAACGAGGGCTGCTGATGGCACAACTGAAACAGAGCCTAAATGTTCCCTCCACTCTTGTCGGGCGACGTTCTTCGACGTCGAAATCCATCGCACGGTCAGAGGGAGGGAAGCTCCTGCACTGGCAGGAGGCCCGTAGCGATCGCCGAAAGCGTTCTGCAGGTAGTCCACGCCCGTAGAACCTTGTATGATCCGTTGCAACGCCATCTGGATACGCGCCTTGCTCACTTCTGCTTGCAGCTCCTTTATTTCCTCCAGGGCGAAACGCAGGCCCTTGACGGCATCGACGACGAATGAGCTGGTAGCGGTGCCGTCGGCATCAGCTTCAGAGCTCGCAGCCAACTCGGTCAGCAGCTTGTCGTGGCTTTTCTTCATCTGGTCCTCCTTCGCCGCAGCGGAGAGCCTGCGCACCATGCCCAGCGAATACTGCAAGATCTGCCCCAAGTATTGTGCGTCCTGGGAACCTGACCCGAGTACCTGAGACAGAATTTCGACGTCGATTTTCTCAAGGATTTCCTCCTTCCACTCCTTGGGAGACAACTCGTGCAATGAGTCCCTGACTTCCTTGACTAGTCTGACCAACTGGCTGTAATCAGGTTTGTCTCCTCTCATGGAGTCCGTGACCAAATCCCAGAACGCTTTCTCCATGGTTTCCCTCACTTTCTCCTGGAAAGCGTTCTCGGCATCGGCAGCAGGACCAGCAGCACTGTCAGATTTCCCAGCGAAAGCACCGCCGTCGTCCTGATGAAGCATTTCATTCACCTTTCTCTCGTTCTCTGTCGGCTGCTTCACTGGTGATGGTGACGAACTACCTGACGATGAATTGATGCTCAAGGCAGGGGCAGATACGTCGTCTGCGACAGGTTTCTGTACTGGACCTGCATCCTTCTTCGCTTCGAAGAACTTCGACCTGGTGTCCGAAAGAGCAGAGTCCATCCGCGCGACACCAGGATCGCCGCTCAGTAGGTGAACCTTCTCACGCAGGAGCTTCTGGTCATCGGCGACCTGTCGCTGGATCGCCTTCATGTCATGGGTGAGCCTGCTCGGCGACCGACCGTCCGCGGTCAACTTGCACGTCTGCATCATCGACAGCTCGAGCTTGCACGCGGCCCTGACAAGGTCTCCCTCCAGCAACGTCGCGTCTTTCACCTTCCACGCCACGAAGCGGTAGAGGTACGCGCACCACGCCTTGTCGAAAGCAGCCAACTGGTCCCTGAACTTCCTCTGAACAGCCGAAACCGAAGGTCCATCGAGTACTGTCTTCGTCAGCAGCTCCAACTCCTCGACGAAGCTCGCCGCCGACTCCATGAGCTGCGTCTCCCCCTCGCGTTGCCCGCTCAAGACCGCGCTTGGATGAGCCAGGATCATGTAGGCACAGAGCACGACCCTCAGTGAGTACCTAGGCAGTCGGTTCTCTTGGGAACTTTGGGTGACCGTGACCGGTCTCTTTGCCACTGCCGCCGGCGCTGTCGTTCCCACGCTGCTGCTTCGAGTACGTCGAGGTGCGGCGGGCTTCCTCCTTGGGGGAGCAGCGAGGTGTTTCAGCAGATGGTCGACGTTTTCCACCGGCGCGGAGCTAGAGATCACGAAACGCCTCTCCAGTCGATCGAGAAGTGCCCTCGTGGCCTGGAGAACGGGAGGGGACTCCATCGACATGGCCAGGTTTTCGAACGACATGTTCTTGACATACTTGCCGTTGATTCCCGAGGAACCGAAAGCCTGAACCAGCGCCAGTGTCGTCTTCTTGGACAGAGTGAATTTTTTCCAGCATCTGAAGTTCACATCACAGGGAACGAAAAATCCGAATTAGTATTCGCTATAAAGTCGTAAGCAATTGTCTAGATATGTATTGTGGGAGACGAGTACTATACCTTGCTAGCTTCCTAGAAAGCAGATCTGCATGCTTGGTGTAATCAGCACGAGGGCTTTGGTGCTCCTTCAAGTACTCACGTCGTTGCCTTCCAGCGTCTAAACTTTGCAGCAACTTTGTCGCCGCCACCGCCCGTTCCTCCGCCGGCTGTACCTCCATTGCCACAAACTCCAGAGCCCCCGTCATCGAAGCCGTCCCCTCTCCTGACCGATCAACGCGAATTCCGCAAGCGACCGGAGGCTTCCCTTTTCCTCTCCCGTTGGCCCCGATTGCCGCTGGGGGCAGATTAAAATAGAGGGCCGGCTGTCGATGGCAATCGGTTTGGATGCCCAGACTCCGAGACGGAGGACGAACCGGGAGGGACTTGCCCCCTCTGGATTTTTTTTTATTTTTAATCTTTTTAAATCTTAATTTAAAAATAATCTCACCCACTTTTATTTTTATTTCTAATCCTTTTGGCCAAGCCAACGCGTCCGGGGTACGGCACAGCCAAAACACCTTACCGCGCCACATGCATCAGCGCATTATTATCTGCCACCGTGCAATGAGTCCCTAACTTCCTTGACCAGGCTGACCAGCAGGCTGTAATCAGGTCTGTCTCCTCTCATGGAGTCCGTGACCAAATCCCAGAACGATTTCTCCATGGTTTCTCTCACTTTCTCCTGGAAACCGTTCTCGGCAGCAGCACCAGTAGCACTGTCAGATTTCCAGCGAAAGCACTGCCGTCGTCCTGATGAAGCATCTCATTCATCATCCTCTCGTATCCATTAACTCGGACTACAGATCTCCTAGCTGGCATGGTTTGCTCAGATGATGATGCTGAAATCAGGTAATGGAGAGCGTTAACTCTCTCGCTGGATTTGGCACGAGACACAGGAACCAGCAGTGCTTGTTCGTCAATTTGTTTCAGTCACATCGGTCAGACTTCAGAGGGGCAAATGGTGTAGCCCATTGTTGTGATCAACACTCTTTTGACGGATGTGTGTTCTTTGTCATACGTTCATTATGTTCTTTTTTGATAGTATAAGAACGCTTGTGACGGAAAGCATTGTCATACGTGCATTATGTTCTTTTTTTATATAAGAACATTTGTGACGGATAGCATGATGATAGTTTGTCATACGTGCATTATGTTCTTTTTTTATATACTCTCTTTGGCAAAATGTCAGAGTCAATTCACAAACTCTCGATGGTTTGTCTGGTCAGTTATTTTGAATAGATCTTACATTCAGCAATGAACTACCGTATCACCATTTACCAAACATAAATACAGTACTACCATATGTCAGGGTCTGGGTTAGAAACATTTTGACTTCAAAACAATCATTCTGCTACGTTTTGCCTCATTCCAGATATGAATTACCATGTCTATTTACTGATTCCACATAATCATCAACTTCAACAAACTGACGAATTGCAAAATCAAAACGAGAAACAGAACTTGGTGAACATAAGTATGCAACGAGCTCTGATTTCTGAAGATCTTCTCGATGAAAATGAACATATCATAAGCCACAAGGACGAAACTAGACCAGAACACATCCCATCCACAGATCTAAACACGAACAAGTTACAACGGTGCTAATGGAGTCCCTACTTTCTAAGCCTTCTTGGGGGCCTTCTTCGGGGACTTGGCCTCCTTGCTGCCGCCGCTGGCCGCCTTCTCGGCCACCTTCTTGGGCAGGAGCACCGGGTTGATGTTGGGGAGGACGCCGCCGTGCGCGATGGTGACGCCGGCCAGCAGCTTCCCGAGCTCCTCGTCGTTGCGGATGGCCAGGAGCACGTGGCGCGGGATGATGCGCGTCTTCTTGTTGTCCCTAGCCGCGTTCCCGGCCAGCTCCAGCACCTCGGCGGCGAGGTACTCCAGCACGGCGGCGAGGTAGACGGGGGCGCCGGTGCCCACGCGCTGCGCGTACCGGCCCTTCTTGAGGTACCGCCCGATCCGGCCGACGGGGAACTGCAGCCCGGCCTTGACGGACCGCGACACCGACTTCTTCCTGGGGCCGCCCGCCTTGCGCCCGGCCGCCCCCTTCTTCGCCTTGCTGCCGGCTCCGCTGGCGTCCATGGCTGCTCGCTGCTGCTGCGATTTGGGGGCCCTGGGCGCGAGAACTTGAGTTGTGGGAATTGCGATGCCGCTCAACTGCGAAACGGGGTGCATTTAAATGGCGCGTTTGGGGGAGATGTGGTGGGCCCGTCGATCCGCGTGCGAGGAAAAGTGATAAGATCCCGGAGGATTTGGACGGCTGGATGGGGTTACAGCAAGGCGATCCGCGGGAGGGATGGTTCAGCCAATCAGGTGCAAGCAACAAAGCAGAACGCAACCGCGCCTTTCAGCAAGCTATTTTTTATTTTTTTATTTACCAACAAATGTGAGAGTAGTATGTTTCACTCCTCGATATATGTGGGAACGATAGTTAAGAAAGAAAAGGAGAGATTATGTTCACGAGATCTCCTATGCTGCCGTAGAAAGAATTGCAGGTCACATCCATTTTCATATTCCGAAACATACTCCCTCCATTCCAAAATAGTTGACACTTTAGCTGTGTCTATGAATTTCATAGCTAAAATACCAACTATTTTGAGACAGAAGGAGTAAAGGCTTTGCTTTGTTTGTACTAACTCAATATAGCCGGGCAATTTGTTTCTTCAACTCGATATGCCAAACAATTACCACTGTAAGTAAATTTATGGGTTCAAATTGCAAACCTAGTCAATAAACGAAACAGCACTTCGCAGAATTATCGAACTCTAGATTATGAAATGTTCTTCAAACGAGAATGCAACTTTCTTTGAACAATGTGTTATTGCTAGCGTGACTGTTGTTCATTGTGGCAATGTTAACGTCATCTACATGATAGCGGATCCCGTACATTTTCATCCTACGAAGCGCATCAAGATCAACATCCATTTCGTCCTTCCGCAAGAAAGTTGTCCAAGTGTGGTTGTATTGTTTCAAAAAATAGTCAGCTGTGGTTGTTACGTGTTCCTTTATCTCACCAATTCGCGGATATAACTAATGACCAAAGGATTGCATATACGGTTGTTTATCGAGTCTTTGCGTCCATGACTCCCAATTTGACTCCGGGTGGATATTAAATTAAAGAAATGTAAATATGTTGTACACATATTTTGTAACACAAGTGGTTGCGACCTATATGTATATGTATATTATATATTATTAAAGTCACCCAACCCCAAAGGACGTATGATCATTCTCAATCTCTCTAGTTCTGACAACCTCGTTTTAGTTATTTTTCCCTCGAATAGATTACATATACACCCATATTATCGACAGAGAAACCAACCAGTGTTCCTCCCAGATTCGTGTTGCGTCTGTGCATAAAGATCAACAGCTGGTGTCGCAAAAATATGCAGGGAATCCCAGCAGAGGAACGAGCAGATCTTCTCACTGCTCTCCGAATTCTGACCAGTATACACATTCCGGATGCGAAGCCTAACCAAAGAGGGCGTGCCAAGACCTGTGCTGGCAAGAGAGCCAGGCTCTTACTCTCAGACTGTTGATCATTCGTGGTACTGTGACTGTGACGATGATCCTCCGAAGCAAATATCCATATCAAAGGCGAGTTGGATGCTATAACTTGGAGCGTGATCTAAGTGGGCATCCTCCTTCGAAAGCATGGTCGAGTACTTCCTCGATGCGCTTCACAAGCAGAATCTGACAGCAGCAAAAATTAATAAGCACCAAAAGGCCAATTTCACCCATACCCTCTTCCACAACTACATATCAAGAGGTTTTATGTTTGAATCTAGTTTGCGAATACCCCTAAAGTGCACGAATCTAGCTTTAGTTTTCGTAGCTCCAAGGCTCAGAATATCGTCAAAGATTACACCGAAGTACCAAACAGCTGCCCAAGCAACATGCAAACAAACAACATACCTCCATGCCAGAGAGAATTGGTGATGGAACCTCTGATAAGTCCTTCAAGTTCCTTTCAGGTAAAATTACTCTCTTGATTCCATATCGATGTGCCGCAAGTACCTAAATTCCACAGAATTATGGAGTTAAATAAAGCAGAAGGGTACCAACACAAAAATGATTAAATGTTCCACATTTTCCAAGTGAAAAGATAAAAAAAAGGAAGCGGTCAGGCAATGGTCATGCACCTTGTCCTTAACACCACCAACTGGCAATACAAGGCCCCTTAGAGTCATCTCTCCAGTCATAGCAGTATCTGCTCTGACTTTTCTGTTACTAAAAAGTGACACCAGTGCCGTTACCAATGTCACACCTGCAGAAGGGCCATCCTTTGGCACAGCACCAGCAGGAAAATGTATGTGAATATCACGGCTCTCCAATAAATTGATATCAGAAGTAGGTGACAAATTGAGGTCGGCAGCTCTTGCTCTCACCTGTAAAGATCAAGGTCGTATTGTAGTTACAAAACAATGGATTATTCGATTTGAGATGTCCCAACATGCAAAACTAATCAATTAAGCTTGTGATATTTAATATAAATAGAATTTTGCAAAGAAAATACAGTTAAAATTCCAAAGCTTCAACATAGGGATGCAAGTGGGTACGCAATGATAAGAACACAGAGGTGCTAACAGGTGGCAATGCCATTCTAATTTATTTTAGCAAGTTTTGAGTCGACCCCAAAATAACCCAAAACAATGGAACTTGCAACCTCTATCCACCAGAGTTTAAATAAACATAGAAGCATGAATTCGTCAACGCAAATAAGGTTTGTCAAACGATTTCAATGCTGTTACATGTAATATGTACTATTTGTGTATGCATGTATATAGCTGGACTGGGCCTGGGCCGTGTGCTTCCTATAGCCAGCTGGCTCTCTCCTGTATTTATTATGGACAGGTATAGGAGTTTATGGATAGGGATAGGGAGGAGATCTTGTTTGGTTATGTTTATAAACCCAAGATCTCCTCCGGACTATATATACATGTAACCCTGTACCTTGATCAATCAATCTACAATTCCAAGCAATCTTGTTTACTTTCAAATGTGGATAAATGACAGGACAAGAAGATCCATACCCATGTCAGAGCTAGCTGCGCTGACTCCTTAATAACATCACCAAGCTGCCCAGTCAAATGCAAGTCACCCTTGCCCACCATGGCTGCAGCCTCCACAAACTGAACTTCCCCACCAACCGAAGTCCAGACAAGACCAACTGAAACTCCTGGGCTTGCTACACGGTCTGCAGCTTCTCTATCATCAAATCTAGGAGGCTGTACCACAAACAACAAGTTCCTGTTTAGATACAACAAAAAAAATGATAAAACTCTGTATTTGTCCATGAAATTGTGTTTAAACATGATATCATACCCCAAGTACTTTTTCTAGCATAGCCTCATCAACAATCATAGGAGATGGATTTTCGTAAGTGTTTGATATATCATGCTCCATAGGAATAACTTCCATTTCAACTTCACCACCATCAGCAAGCCTCGAATCAAGAAGAGTTGTAGTAATTGGTTGCATTTCCTTGCCAAGTCTAAGAGTTTTAACTTGCTCTGCAACCTTAACAGCAGCTGCACGGGCCAACGCAGCTAGGTTCCGCTCAAGATTGCGCACACCAGCTTCTCTCGTGTACCTCTCGATGATCAGTTTGACCATAGCCTGCACAAATGACCAGCAAGTATACATCATTGAACACAAGGAAGAAAAAAATAGAATGAAGCTGTAAGACAACTCTGCGAAGACTAGCAACTAGCTAGACTAAGATAGACACAAACACCAACAGAAAATAAAAGGAAAAGAGGCAGGAAAAAAACGATAAAAAGCTCGCCATTAACAAACAGCTGGACGACTAGGCCATAAGGTATTCAATCCTTTCACAAGTTAAGCACCAGAGCTTTGCCTCCTCAATGTCGGGCATCCGAGAAGCGCCATCAAACACACAATTATGGTGATGTTCCCATAACCACCATGCCACAAGAATTACCATGGATTCAGTTCTATTGTCTAGGTGTTCCAGAAAAAAGGAGTTCTATTGTCTAGCAGAAAACTCATTTGTCGCAAGCATGGTGAAAATGCAGAATATAGCAAAAGCAAAATTTCCAACTTGTGAACAAATGAGCTAAAAGTTGTTTCTTGCTAAATTAGTGAAAAAAGCATCTCAAGACACACAAAAAAATTCCAACAACTGAATAACAGCAGTCCAAACAAACATTGTAATACCGTTGGTATATTTATATTCACAAATAGAATTATCACACTTCCTACATAGTAAGAAGTATAGCATTTGCAGTTGCCATTTTAAAGTGACCATAAATGCCTTTTGCCATCAACGTGCTATAACTTATAGTTAAAAAGGAGCAAAATTGATAAATTATGTTGGCAATGAAAGCATTTTGGCATTCATTATTTTCGTGGACATGCATTAATGAAATCAACACGGTATAGAAAGTGAAGACTAGGAAAGGTGCAGCAGAAACTCCAGCTGTGTCATACCTCAGGAATCTGAAGATTTGTCATACTCAAGCCATGCTGCTCCAATACCCTTGGTATGAGATGTTTCATGGCTATTTTTAACTTCTCTTCGGGTGTGTAGCCTGGCAGCTCAATGACTTCCATCCTATCTAACAGAGGAGGGGGTATAGGTTGCATCCTATTGGCAGTTGCAACAAATATGACTTTCGACAGGTCGAACGGCACATTCAAATAGCTGGTGATCATATTAAGGAATTCTTATTATATATATAAACCACAGATCAAGCAGCACAAGCCCAAAGAATTTGATGGTGAGTATTGAATTCATAAATAAACTAAGAGCTTGGCCTTTGTCTCTGCCAACTGCAATTATTCAACTAAATCAGCAACCCACACACTACACGACAGAGTAATGATGGCGTCGTACAACTCACACATGCTTAATAATTATATAAGAAACATTGCCAAGAGAGGTAAAACTGTCCTTCATTTAAAAAACAACAAATAAATCATAGCTCCACTTTAACGATAAATGAAAGGATACTGATCGTTGAATGCTTTGTTCTGCTCAGGGTCAAGAACTTCTAGTAGTGCTGATGCTGGATCACCACGTACATCAGAACCAGTCTTGTCAATTTCATCTAGAAGCATCACTGGATTGCTCACAGATACCCTCTGCATTTTTTTAGTAAGAACTCATATTTAGAAAATGTTCTATTCAAATAGTTCCTTGAGACATTTAGGGTAATATTTAGAGTTTTTAGTTCATACTTTACTAAACAAACATCATTTAGAAGGGGGAACTAACAGACCTTTTTGCAATCGCTGTTGAATTATTAATACAAGTAGGTTAGAAGAACATCTCTTGAAAAGAGTAGGTTAGAACTTAGAAGAACAGATAAAATAGCTACTTCAGAATGGGAAGAAGAACAGGTTTGAACCTTTAGTCCATCAATAAGTCTCCCTGGCATGCTTCCAATATATGTCCTTCGGTGGCCCCTAATATCAGCTTCATCCTTTACACCACCAAGAGAGATTCTTATGAATTTTCTGTTCAGGGCCTTTGCTATGGAGGAGGCCAAAGATGTCTTCCCAACACCAGGTGGTCCAACAAAACACAGCACTGGACCCCTGGCATCAGGTTTAAGCTGCGAGCAAATTAATAGAATTCCATAAGATATAAACTACATTAACCAGGATAGGAACGTCTGCAAATAAGAAAAGGATGCACAGATCAAACTACAGACCTTACGAACAGCCAAATACTCAATAATCCTTTGCTTAACTTTTGTTAGTCCATAATGATCCTGATCAAGGCTCTCTTTTGCAGCTCTAAGGTCAAGCTCCCTTTCTTCACTGACCTTTTGCCAAGGAAGGTCAGCAAGAAGTTCCAAGTAGGCTCGAGAGCTACTATAACCAGGTTGCTGAGGTTGCATCTTTCGTAGGCGCCTGTAGAAGAAAGCTAACTAGATACAAAAAACTCCAGTACCACATGTGCACAAAGATAAAGGATATGGCATGATAGCTTACCTCATTTCCCTTTGAGCATGCTTCCAAATATTAGCAGGCATTCCTGCATTCTGTATCTTTCTTTCCAGTGCAGCCACATCATCTTCATCATCATCGTTATCACCAAGTTCCTCTTTTATGGCCCTCATCTGCATATTAGCATGGCCATATCAGATAAAAATGTCTATTTTGAAAACAGAAGGCCAACTAATGTTACTCAACACCCCCTTACAAGAAAAAGCACTATTTGTTTCTCAGAAGACAGAGGTTGCTGAAACACAAACAGTGCAAAAGTTCTAGACCCCAAACATGGAGATTAGCAGACAAACCTGCTGGCGCAGTAGAAATTCTTTTTGCGACTTTGATAGCTGCCCCTCAACCTTTTGCGTTATTTTCTCAGCTACAAGAATGGACTGCCATCACAAGAAAAAAAAAAAAATTAAATTGATACTGACCTTAATAAGACAAAAGGTAAAATTACCACATTAATTATTAAATAACAAACTATAAAGTATCTTCACCTGCAGGTGTCTGTCTACAAGTTCAGTTGCCTTGGAAAGTCTAACTTTCAAGTCAACTGAATCCAGCATCGAAAGCTGCTCCTCAAAACTCATCTCAAAGCTAGCAACAAAAATATCAGCTAGCCTGTAAACAGGAACTGTATCAAGAAGCACCTTTGTCCTACCAACCGTCTTCTGCTTCTGCAGTTAGAAAAAATAGCGTCGATTGTAAGTTAGGCTCATTGATAATTTCAAGTATTTCACTCGCATAGAAGTCAGGCACCATAAATCAACAAATTGAGGGTATTGCACCCCTTCAATTTGCTACTGTGCCAGCAAAAAGAGCTCACAAGCTCACTGTGCTTCAGGCCCTCACAGATCACTCTTGGATCAGTGACATACAAGGAGCATTCTCAGTAGGAGTCCTAGTTGAATTTCTGAATCTCTGGGGCCTCCTCTTCAAGATTGTACTACAACCTGATGTGGAGGTGTGCACCGTTGGTGTCTTTCATGTTCTGGAGTTTACTCAGCCAAGTCAGCATATGAGGGATTCTTTCAAGGATCTATTCAGTTCCGGCCATGTGACCGTATTTGGGACACTAGGGCTCCTAGCCGGTGTCATTTCTTTATGTGGATTGTGGCTCATAAATGTTGTTGGCCAGCAGATCAACTTTGAAAATGGGGACTGCCACATCCTGACAGATGTCCTCACTGTGAGGAGGCTGAAAAAACTATTGATCATTTGCTTACTAATTGTGTGTTTGCAAGGCAATTCTGGTCACACTTCTACGATGGTTTGGCTTACAATCCTTGTCACCCTCGCTGGATGATTTATCCTTTGAGGACTGGTGGAACAAGACCAATGATGGGGTCGATGGACAGTTGCAGCAAGGGACCAATTCCCTAATCATTCTAAGGGCATGAACTCTTTGGAAGAATAGAAACCATTGTGTTTTGATAACTCTCTGGTAAGCATGGCTGGTGCCTTATTGCTTGCCGAGGGGGAGGCCATACTTGGCTATGGCCAGTGGTCAGTGCTAAAGGGCTGCCCTTCTTATCAGCCTTTGCCCCTAGTGAATAGGTTGCTCCAGGTCGTGATCTCTATGAAAGCAGGAGTGAATGTAATTTGTGAACTGTTCAGTAAAATCAGGGGGGCAAACTTGAAACCTTATACTAGTAAACAAAAGAGATAAAGTTCTGCATGAAATATTTACCTGTTCTAGAACAGAAATTAGTTCCATGGCAGTAGCTTTAAACTGCCTAGAAAGAGCGATAAGATCTGGGTCTTGCTCTGCCTGCTCCAATTCTAAAAATTTACAGACATATTAGTAATAAAGATGTAAAAGTCTGTTTTAGAACAAGTGACTTCAAAGAAGAAGAAAAAACAGATGGAAAGGATGTCTTTAAGATACATTAACCTTTAAGGTATAAGGTATCGCATGAGAAGAAACTGTACTTATGTACTATGCTATAAAAGCCATAGACTTAAGACTACAATGATCAGGTAAACAGACAGAACAAAACAAGTTTCTTTTATTCAAAACTTTACCAGTCTTTGTCATGTCAAGGCGTGAAACACGGGCAACATGGTATGGTCCTCTTGCACTTAGTTCCTGAACGTTGAACCTACATAGACCTTCAAGAACAACAATGTATGTAACCCTTCCACTTGGCTTCTCCACCCCTCTGGAAAGGTGTAAAGCTCTGGCAGCAACTCCCCTGCACATGGAAAAACAAAGTTAAGGAAAAGTTAAATAAAAAAATGCATAAGGTAGTGAAAGATTGCCTGCAATATCATAATTGCATAAAAAAATGTGTAACGTAAATTATCTATAATCCCACCATATTTCGTAAGTGTATGTGCCCATAGGTTCAATATAGATTAAGTTATAGCTGGAAATAATAAATACAAATATTCATAGTTCAGCAAATCTTTCGTAGGAAGAAGTAGGTTAAGCACACATGATGTTAAAATATGAAAAACTGTGCATGCTTACAATGCACCCTCCTCTAGCTAAGCTTATTAATCGAAACTGTGTGAAAAGTCCCTTGGGCAGATTACTGTGTGAAAAATATCTGCTCATTGTCAATCTATATCAGCCATGTTTTATCTCAGACAACTGTAGGCTAATGAACGTTGCACTTGTGTGCTCACATGGCATACACAGGGTAAAATAAATAAAAAGGCAAACATTTGCCTCCATCTATTATTCATGTTTGTAGAATAGAATGCAGTATAAACCCCATTGTTATATCCACCAACAGTCAACTCCCACACCTGAATGTGTTTATCTCTATAACCTTGTTCATGAATAAAATACAAGCATTGGATGAGCAAAGATAGTGATGTCACACACTTGCTGTGCCAGTGAATGGGCTCCTTCCCATTTTTTGTGTCCTGCCTTGATGACTCTCCTGCAGAACCGCCAACCTTACTGCCTCCTTCACCTGAATCACTGCCCACACCTACAAGAGCGATAACAACTGCAGGAAGTAAATGCATGTCCACAATGGCCAGCAATTTTGCTCATACAGCAAAAATTCGAAGCCACAGTCTTTATCTCACCAGGAGACAGCAAAGAGCCAACAGCTGTTGCCTCCGAGTCTCGCACAGGAAGTACCCCGATCAGGCCTTTCTCTTCCTTCTGCCAGAGCTCTTGCTCCACCAGCTTCACACTGAAGAGGCAAACAACCACACCGACAAAGTCACAGACCAAGTAAAAATCCAAAACAATCTGCAAATTTGTTTTCCTCCCACATAGTCAATATACATCACAGTAAGCCGTCTCCGAAGGGAGCTCGACCACACAAGGGACCAAACTGCGCGTAGAAAAGTCGGACACTAACGGAAAGGTGGGAAACGGACGCGGAATCTGTCGGGCCCCTAAAGCAACAGGCCACTGAAAACACCAAATTCAATGAACGCATCAAATTGAGACAAGAAATCTCAAAATTTAATCTCAAAATTTCCTGTCTGAAGCGAGATAGCTAAATTTACTTAATTCGCATACTGCTCCAAAATTTAAGCGCAAGGAGTCGCAATTTTGTAGCAAGTGGGGGTAATTAGATGTAGCACAAACCACGTGTCTACTAAACATTTCCGATGGGGAGAAAACCTATATAAAGAAAATAAACTCCCAGAACTGAAAACCCTGAGCCCGATAGGCCGACAGCGCACCAAATTAATCCCCAAAACCAAAATCGAAACCCACGCCGCTGATCGGGCGGCGCTACAAGCTCTCGACGGTTGGTGCAGGTGCAGGTGCAGGGGCAGGGCACTCACCTACTGGGGTTTGTGCAGCGGATCCGCACGATGGCGCCAGGGAGCAGCACCTTGTTGCGGAAGGGCAGTATGGCGAGCCGGCTCGGCAGCTCCACCGGCGAGTCCGCCATGTCGGGCACGCAAATCGCGTCGATGCCGAGAGGTGGGGAGGGGGAGGGGACAGGGGAGGCGCACCAGCGTACGGCAAAGCAGAATAAAAAAAAAGGAAGAAAAATTGGAGAGTAAAGAAGGCGAGAGGTGGAAAACGGTGACGATATTATTTATGAGAGCCGTGTCGAGCTCAATCAGGCGGAGTCGAGGGTTGCTTTGCGAGTGCGGGTAGTGGGGCCGGCCGGCGGGTACGGAACTCTCCGGGTGAGTGGTAGTTTAGGCCGGACCGGATGGTAGCGGGGCCCAGGTGGCAGTGAATGGTGTCGGCGTGGCGCGCTATGGAGATAAGAGTCGCCGGCTCGCCGCGGCGTGTGGCGCTGGTTCGTTCAGACCGCCGTAACGGTGGGGAACGGCACGGGCCGTATAGTAGATCGGGGCCGTCGGTTTTGTGGGTCCGAACTGACGGACGGCGCAGATCTGCGAAGCGTGCACGTGGAGATTTCTTGGTGCCATTTGGACCATATGGATGGATCTTGGCGTGCTAATTTGAGCCCTCACCGACAAGCTCATCTGGAAGTCGTCGAGGGGATAGTTGCGCCGTGTCATAGTAGTAGATCACTAGATGGATTCTTCCCTCTTTCTTTTAGGGCAGCTCCGGTCACTGACACAGTTCGATGAAACAGAGTTCGGCTCGTGGAATCGGTGATTGCTCGAAAGAAACGAAAGCTTCACAGGCCACCACGTCAATGCTTTGCATGGTAAAAAGAGTTTTTTAATTGGAATATACTTATATGAACACGTGGTGAGTCCAAATCACATATAGAATATGGAGGGCGGAGGAGTATTGTTTTTCTTGATGGTTAGACCAAAGTCTTGGACGGTTAGTTGTAAGACTCAAGGAGTGGAGTCGGGAATGAAGGTGACAGAATGGAGTGGAATAGTGAAAATAGCAATGGTCTATCTTCAAGGCACTATTGATTGTGTACATATTACAATTAGCAGACCAAAGTGGCCTCTTACTATTAAGTATGGATTATTAAGTATGGATGATGTGTGGTTTGACTTTTTCGTCTGTTAACTCTGACATCAGAGTAGTTGTATTCTATGGGGTTCTCTGCTCGATTTGTTTCTCCTGCAGCTCGAGATTTGAAGTGCCCTGAAGCTACAGAAGCATGATAATTAATTTCTCCTTTAATTTTTCGAACTACTTTAGGAGCCATCCGGGTAGGGCTCCTCTTCGGCTGCCGCTCCGGTTCCTCCGGAGCCAAATGGTTTAGCAGGAGGAGCCTGTCACCGCAGTGTATGGTACAGGTTCATTCTTGTTCAGCTCAGGCTGTCGTAACGGTGGGCTAACGGTATGGGCTGTATGCTACATCAGACTATCGGAGCCGTCGGTTTTGTGTTCAATAGTGCACCGCACTGCTGTTTCTCTCTAACTTTCCTGCTGGTGACATCATTTATTTTAGAATTTTGGATATTAGATCATCATATGTATTTTTATTGTGTGCATAACAAATTAACAATCTTCTCCTTTATGAACTATGAACCATTCAGAAACAGAACCAAAAGCAATAGTTTCACTGAATTATTGCATGAATTCGTATAACTTAATTATACACCTAGGAGGTGATTGGTGCATGTATGAGTCGTCTGGCTTGTATCTGAGAGTCAGGTTACGTGGGACAGGTTGGATGTATACATGATCACTATAAGTCTATAACCTAAGACGTAGCCTGAAGTTTTGGATCCATTCAGCATTAACTAAGGCTCGATCTAGTCTACCAATGATGTGTCTAGCACCATCGGGTTAATTGGCCCAATATATCTAATTTGGGTCAGACTTGTTTGGAGCAAACATTATTCAGGTAATCGTTTACCAACCTTACATGGTCACCAACATGGTTCTTTCTGGTGGTGAGATGTCTTAAAGCTTCGGCAACAGTTTAAGGGTATGTCTTCTGTAACTTTGGCCAATGGTGCAACTTGCTTTCTTTGGCTTGATCTTTGGAATGAGACATACACTGAGCTTTTTTCTTTCTACAAGAATACAACCATTACCATTCAGTCGGCTGCACATGCTCCTCAATTCCACGATTTGTTTCACCTTCCCCTGTCACCAGAAGCTTTTGCTCAATACCTGCAGTTTTATTTGGTCATTCAAAACCTTCAATTACAGCCCACCAATGATTCTTGGACCTATATCTAGGACTCTTCTATATTCACCGCCAACAGAGCTTATAAGCAACTCATGGGACAGCAACAAGTTCATCAGGGCTATGGCTGGTTATGGAAATCTAGTTGCCAAAACAAGAGAAAAAATTTCTCCTGGCTCTTACTTAAAGATAGGTTAAGTACCAGGGCCCTCCTCAAGAGAAATAATATGTTTCTCGAAAGACTATGTAGAAATTCAGAGGCGCAGATGGGGATGAACACCGAGTCCCAAACTCAGGACTACAGGTGCTTGCGTGTTGATTGGATGGGTGAAACAGCCTCACCCGTGGCTACATATAGATTACAGATGTACCTGAATAGCTATAAGTTAGGAGAGCCAAACAATCTTGTGGTGCATATATATCTAATAGCAACTACCCCTAACTTATAGCTTGACCGATGACCCATCGGTTTGTTACAGATGCATGCGCACATTGCCTATCTAACACTCCCCCTCAATCATAACTTGGTCATGTTAAGATTGTGCTTGAAACTCTCAAGTAGCCTTACTGACAAGGGTTTGGTGAACTCGTCAGCAATCTGATCTCCAGATGATACAAAAATCAATTTCTAACAGTCTTCGTGCAACTCTTTCTCTGACAAAGTGATAATCCACTTCTATGTGCTTGGTTCTAGCATGGAATACTGGGTTTTGAGACAAGTATTTAGCACAAATATTATCACACCACAGTTTGGCAGCAGCTGGGGTTCTCACACTCAATTCTCGAAGTAGAGTTTGTATCCACATAACTTCAGCAGTTGCATCAGCTATTGCTTTATACTCTGATTTGGTACTCGACCGTGATATTGTACTCTGTTTGCGAGCACTCCATGAGACAAGATTGGAGCCAAAGAAGATTGCAAAACCCCCGGTTGATCTCCTATCATCACCGCTGCCTTCCCAGTCGGCATCAGAAAATGTGCTGATCAAAGTAGAGGATGACTTGAGAAGTTTAATGCCAAGTGAAGTGCATTGCTTGATGTATCTCAGTATCCTCTTGACTGCAGCCCAATGTACAGTGGTTGGTGCGTGGAGAAATTGACAAACCTTGTTCACCGAGTATGAAATATCTGGCCTGGTAAGTGTCAAGTACTGTAATGCACCGACTACACTTCTGTAATGTGTCGCATCTTTAGGTCCCAATAAAGATCCCTCATGCAATGACAGCTTCTCACTAGTACTGAGTGGAGCAGCCATGGCCTTGCAATCAGACATTCCAACTCGCTTGAGTAGATCAGATGCATACTTGTCTTGTGTCAATAATATCCCATTTGATACTTTGGAAACTTTAATACCCAGAAAATAATGAAGATCACCTAAATCTTTCAAGGCAAACTCATTTTGTAGCTTCTTGAGAAGTGTATCTATGGCCTTCTCTGTAGAACTTACCACAATAATATCATCTACATATACAAGCACAAACATGATCAAATTATCCTTATTGAGGAAAAACAAGGATGTGTCAGCCTTTGATACTTTAAATCCGAGACTTATTAACTTGTTACTAAGTCGAGCATGCCAGGCTCTGGGAGCCTGTTTTAACCCATAGAGAGCTCTATCAAGTTTGCACACATAATTAGGCTTTGCAGGATCCTCATAACCTGGAGGCTGCTGCATATATACATCCTCGTCCAAATATCCATGCAAGAATGCGTTTTGCACATCAAGCTGTCATAAGCTCCAACCTCTAAAGATAGCAAGTGACAAAATAATGCGAATAGTAGAGTGCTTGATGACAGGACTAAAGGTATCTTCATAATCAATTCCATACCTTTGCTTGAATCTTTTTGCTACAAGCCTTGCTTTGTATCTATCCAAGCTTCCATCCTTCTTTCTTTTGATCTTATAGACCCACTTGCATCCTATTACATTCCTACCTTTTTGTGGTGGAACCAAGTGCCATGTCTTGTTGTTCATCAAGGCACTATATTCTGAATCCATTGCTATTTTCCAATCTGTATTGGACAAAGCTTCTTCTATATTCCAGGGCTCACCTGAAGTTGTGAGAAAAGAGTATCTGACGGTACCATCAGTGTGTACTTTCTCCTTGCGTATGCCACTTTGAAGACGTGTTTGACGACGTGGTTCTGCCTGTACATCAGTGCCTGTGGAGGAGAGGGGTATAGCAGATGCATCAGCATTAGTAGTAGCAGCCGGCACAGAAGATTCCCCAGCACCGGTGGACAGCGCAGGAAATCCATCAGGTGCAGCAGTCTCCCCCTGGCGAAAAGCGGTAGCATCAGAAGATCCTGTCCCCCCTTGGCGTGGAGCGGCGACGGAGTTGGTCCCCGCGTGACAGGAGGCAGATGGCGAGCGCTCATGGGCCAGCCGCTGACCAGATGCGGATCCCGGCGCAGAATCCCGCCCAGGCGTACCTGCCATCTACCCAGGGTGCTGCATCACATCATCCTCGGTTCCAGTGTCGATGGATGATTGTGGCACACTTGCTGTGCACAGCAGATCAGCAGCGGTATTTTCTGCACTTTCAACAGCACTTGGAGAAAAATTATTAGTGGCATTAGATACAGCATTAGTCACCGGATCAACTACAGTTGTACCCCCTGGATTCAACAAAGTGGGATGAAGGAGATCTATTTCTGAGCGAAGCCGAGCACCGGCATTGGGATGGAGCTCAAAAAAGGGAAAAACATTTTCATCAAAAATAACATCACGTGAAATATAGATGCGTCCAGTGGAGATGTCTAGGCACTTGTACCCTTTGTGGAGTTGACTATAGCCAAGAAAGGCACAACGTTTAGATCTATATTCAAGTTTGTGGGCATTGTAGGGCCTAAGATTAGGCCAGCA